CCCGCCGACCAATCGGCACCGCCCTAGCGCTGAGCGACGCGGAGGCTCAGCCAATCAGAGGCGGCGCCCCCTCACGGGGAGGCGGGCGCAACGGCTCCCTCAGGGGTTGACCCCCCCCCGCCGGCGCTACCGGGGAGGCGGAGGGAGGACCCAGCCGCCCTCCCGGGGAACGGAGAAAGGCGGGGAAGGAGGGGAAGGAGAGGAAGGGCCCGCCCCCGCGGCGCACCGGGGGCTGCCCCGCACCTACCGCCGTATCCCTGCTCCATCGCTCCCCCTCCGCCTCCGGCCAGCGGCGCCGCACTGCCCGCCCGAGCGCCCGACCTGCGCAGGCGCACCCCCTTCCCCGCAACCCCATTGGACCGCGTCGCCGCTCCGCCCCGCCCACGACGCTCCCCCATTGGCCGCGCTCCAGGAGCCCGCCCCCCGTCGTTGCCTAGAGGCAGGACCCCTCCCTCCGCTCCCATTGGCCAGCCCGCAACGCCATCCCCCCAGCCTATTGGTGGAAGCTCTTCTTCCCTGAGGGCTCCCTCCTTGTCAATCAGAACCATTCCCTCTCCTGATTGGCCGGAGGCGCGGGGGCTCGCGGTGCGTGATGGGGTCGCCATGGCGCCGCGCTGCGGAGCCCTCTCCCGGCCCTTGACCCTTCACCTTTGCCCCTCGGCTCCTAAATTGACCTTTGACCTCCTCCGACCCCTCACAGCAATGGCCTCCTCCCTCCGAGGGCCTCCCCCAAAGCCCCTTCACCTCAGGATGGATCGACTCCCCTCAAGGCCCGGCCCGGCAGCGACAAAACCTTCCCCTCAGGGAGAATGACACCTTTTTCCTCAGGTTTTGCCATAAAAACAGCTTAAAGCAGCATAAAAGCGATGGGCAGAGGGAAATGGGTGAGAAAAGGGAGGTTTATACCCCCCAAAATGGCTCCGTGTCCTTTTCCGGCCCCGTTTCCTTCCTTTATTACCTGAAGTGAAGCACAATGGGCTGAAGGACACGTTTTTATTTGAAATTCTGACAGAAATTGCTACAAAACAACATCAAGGAGGAAGGATCGGGGCATCTCGGCACAATAAATAGAAGCTTTTCATTGCCAGGAAGAGAGAGATCCTCGAATTCGAGGAAGGGAGCTCGAAGGAAAAGAGAAAAGGTGGGGAATGAAGTGAAAAAATTTGAGATTCCAGGGGGAGAAGCAGGAAATCTCCAGGAAAAGCAGCAGCTCCTGGTGAAAGAGGGGAAAGAGGGTGGAATAAAACCCACACGGCGATGTCTCCGCTGAAATAGCCCCATTTTTTGGCTCAGCCAGGTGTGTTGCTCCTCCAGGGAATTTTTTTTTTCTCCCAACTTTAATCCATTTAAACCCCAAAATTTCCACAGGAACCTGCTTTTTTTTATTTATTTTTCATTTGACGTTCCAAATTTGCAGCCGTGATGTCTAGAAACCCTCACGGAGTGGGAACGTTGGGAATGGGTTTGAGGGGGAAAAAGAAAAGCTCCAAGAGCAGAGAGGGGTTATTCCAGCCCAGATTTTTTTTTACTAATTCTGTTTTTTTTAACAGAATGAGGAAAAATCCTGGAAAATACAGAGCCTCGATGAAGAGAAGCCCCGTTATTTTAGTCAAAAGGGCTGGACAAAGGCTGGATTCTGTGGGATCATTCGTGGGACGCAGAAGATGGATGGATCTCTCCTCCAGAAGATCTTCACCCACCAAATCCAGAAATAATCCCAGCAGCTGCATTATTAGAGCCAAAATAAATCTATATCCTCCTTCTAAAAGGAAAGTGGGAAGATTTAAGACCCGTGTTAATAACAAACGGCCGTTTCGGCACCGCGATTGGAGACTCTCAGAATCTTCCACTTATTTCACATTATTAGAGCCAAAATAAATCTATTTCCTCCTTCTAAAAGGAAAGTGGGAAGATTTAAGACCCGTGTTAATAACAAACGGCCGTTTCGGCACCGCGATTGGAGACTCTCAGAATCTTCCACTTATTTCCATGGAAATGACATGGATTCCGTACGGATTTCCAGGTGGGAAACATTCAAACTACAGAACGATGCTCTGGGGGCCCTGTTCTTGAAAGAAGTCCTCAACGTAATAAAGTTTAAGGTCTAAAAAAAATGAAAATAAATGATGTGAAGCTGTTGGCAACTTCATAATCGGAGTGAGGAGTTCAGGGGGAGCTGTTGAGATGTGTTATCAGAATTTTTTCCTCGATTTAACGCCACAAAACGAGTTCTACCCCCCCTCCTTAATTACCGATGAGCGATCGATACCCCAGGAAGCTCGAGCACCTCGAAATTCCCCGCTGTGAGATCCTCCCCCGGCCTCAGAGCTACGAGACCAGGCACATCAGTGGTAAATCCTGCCAGGAGCTGGGGCTGTCCCCTCCCCAAACACCCCAAAACTCATCTCAAAACCACCAGTGGTTTTTTTTCCCTGGATCTTTCCGGGGAATCTCCTTCCCCAGATCCTCCTCGTTGAGGCACTACAAACATATTCCTTCCCCAGAGGGAAAAAGGAGGCTGCCCTGGGCTGATCTGGCAGGATTTCTAGCAGTGCAGGTGATTATAATATAAATTATTAACTAACACCATAAAATCCCCAAGAGCACCAGCAAAAAACTGAGATCTGGGCTGAAAAAATCAGAAAATAAGTCAGTTAAATCTGCTGTCACCCATGAGCCAGGGTAGTTCTGGGGAAAAATAAACCAAAACACCCTTATTTACGTAAACATTTGAATTGTGGGCGCTTCACAGCGCGTTTGTCAACGGATCAACGCGGGAGAGGGACGGAGCGTGGAGGGAATCGAGCCCAAGGTGTAGTTCAGCTCTTCTTTCTTCGGGGAAAGCAGCAGCCTCCGAAAAAACCACGGTGTGAGGCATAAATGGGAGCAATCCGTTAATTATCAAGCCATTTCCTTAAGAGGTAATTAGGTTTTTTATACACCTGGAAGATTTTTAGCACCGACTTCTTCCCAACTCATTTCTTTTCCTCTTCTCTCTTCCACTCCGAGTTCTCAGCATCCCTGGGGACGAGGTCCTTCGGGTTGTTCCTGCAGAACCAGGTCCATCCCAGCAATCCGAGGGGGTTTTAATCAGCACAACTAATTAATTGTTGTCGGACGCCTGGCGTTTAGTGCCTGCATCCTAGAGGAGCCACAAAACCCTTCACGCTACATCCACAAGCACGAAGGATTTTTCCATCTGCACTTAATTGGAGGATTTTGCCCCAGAACATGAACCCACAGTGATATTGAGTGTAAAAGGACTTTTTACGTTGCAACGGTGAAGCCCCAAACACCCCCGAGGAGGTGGATTTGCCCCAAACTCATCCCTACGGCATCAGGGAGGGAGATTTGGGCTCTGGAGAAGGACTCACTCCTTGGGCCAGAAGAAGACAAAGGTCAGAGTCCGAGGGAAGGGCTGATTTGCTGTTGATCCCTCACCCAGAAGGTGGACACTCCCTGGGCCGTCCTGCCCAGCTTCCCAAAAGGCAGAATTTTTGACCTAAAAAGCCGTCATTGAAGGAAGAAAAATTCACTTTCTGGATTCTGCTACAAGGAAGCAAGGTGTTCCTTCCGTCCCCAACTTGGGGAGCGCCGAGGTTTGACCTTGCCCGAGGAGGAAATTAATTACAAATTGTTCTTTCGTGCCGACATCTGATTTTTTTTTCCTCCCTTTCCTTGTGGGGGAGGGAAAAAAAGGTGTAAAAAGCCACCAGGGAGAAGCAACTGGAACTGCTGGAAGTTCTGCAGATGTTTCCATCGCTCCTGGAGGGAGAAAAAGGGCCTGGAAGAACCCGCTCTCGCTGCCGAGTGGGAGGTGAAGAGTTTTCTCCCCCCCAAAAAATAACCAGCCGGGAAACAGTGTATTTAACCCAGAATCTGGTCCCTTTCCTTCAAATTCCTTTTTTTTAAGCTGGTGTGATTAGAGAAATATGGACATCAGAAAGGGGAAAAAGTTGGGGGGGGAAAT